GAATGTGACGGCCTTCAGCTTGGAGCCGGAGAACTGAACGGTAAGCGAGGCCGGAGGTAGCACCACTGGTGCGCAGGACGATGCTCGGAAGTTTGAGGTGATTAGCCACAGCTTCCGAAAAGTGCATGAGTGCGTCGTAGATTATGCAGACCACCTTACCATGCTGGTCCTGGTTCTGGTCCATTTGAGCCAACCATTCTTGGAAGGGCACTTCACAGTTGATGTTAAAAGTTTTAACAGAAGCTACGAGATTCCCGGACGACGACGTATTGGTATCGGTTAAGGCATCTTGAATTGGTAGGAAGATGAAATGGGGGTGTTTTGAAGGATTAGGATAGTTGAATTGAGTGTGCGCAACTGTGATTGAGAAGCCCATGGAGTGAAGGGTAGTGCCTAGTTGAATGAAGCATAGGGTTTATGTGTCCTTGAAATGGACATGGGACTAGCACCACTCTGCATCTCCTTTCTTCTTCCATGTGTGTGTGTGTGTGTTTGTGACGAGGTTTTAGGGTTGTAATTCTAAGACATTTTATTAGGTTCAAGTGATGAGAAAATTCCTTAGTTGTAGAAAATTGACTAACAAGTGAAACAGAAAGATGTGGACCAAGTGGAATGTTTGAGGATGATTTGTTCTGCTTTCATAGTTTGTCTCTTTTGTTTTTCTGAAAGGTTATTGAGTCTATACAGTTTTGGGTAGGTTATTATGAAATAAGTTGTTTTTCCTATCTCTATTTTTTTTTTTTTTCTTTACTTTATATTTTTCAACTACTCTGTATATTTATTGGGTATGTTTTAAAAAATTTATCGTATTAAAAAAATACTAAAAATTATAAAAAGTTTTAAGTGAATTACGTAAATTAGAATTCTTATTCATGATAGTTTTAATTATTTAAAAATTTAGTAAAGTGAATGTCTGAAACGAAGATGGTTAGAATTAAACTCGAGTTATTATGTTATATTAGAGTTTGGATTCTATAATCATAAGTTTACTATTTTTTTTTATATTTAAAAAATAATTTTCAAATAAACTAACAAATAACAGTCACTTGATTCAAGATAAAATTACAAATCAAAATTATAGCATTTTCCAATGTAATCTCTTGGAAACCACAGTGATGTTATCTGGACCTGGGTTCAAATTGGCCCAATACAGGTGTAGACTTAAACTTGACCATGCCATACGAGTCGGCTCAGGCCCAGAGAAGCCAACAAATACATAACACTGAAGCCCACCTAACTGTTAATTATTCCAGATTGGGCCATATCAACTAAGTCAAGCCCCTTTTTTTTTTTGCGGACTAATATGAATCAATTCCAATAAAGACCTCCCAAAAAGAAAAGAAAAGACGTTATATGCGCTCTAGATATAACCTGTACAATCCACTTCTTAAATATCTATATATTCAAAAAATAATAATAATTATCATAATTTTTTTTTCTTTAGAGTGAGGCTCTAGAGTAGTTATTAGAAATTCGTAGAGGATTGTAGAGAGGGATGGGAATATTAGAGAGTTTGTATAAAATTGTATCCGTGTACTGAATTCCTCCATAATATTAGAGGTGAATAAAAAAAATATAATATTAGATTGAGAGTTCTAGATGGATTATTCTCAACATTCATTTGGATGCAGTGATGGAGCCAGAATTTCAAGTGAGGGGGAGCACGCTGTCAAAAAAAATAATAATAATACGGAGTGTGTATATATATATATATATATAACAACTATAAAATTCAAAAGACAAAGAAGAAAAAAATTATTAAAATATAAAAGGAAAGAAAAACGAGAGAACTTTAACAGAAAATAGTTGAAAATTAAGGAAGAAAAATTTGACTTTTTTTACTAAGGAAATTTAAGGAATGCGAAGAATAAAAGAGAAAATAAAGAAAAATAAAATTTTAATTTTAGGAACTAAAAATTTGAGGAGGACACTGTATAAATTTTTTCATATATATGGAGTTTTTTAAAAAAATTACCAAACATATTATAAGTTGTTGACCGGGGGCACCTGCCCCCCTAGGCCTTCATTGACTCCATCCCTGTTTGGATGTATCCTAGCAATCCATTGATGAGGGGATGACTATAACTTCTTGAGAATTAAAAAAATTAATTTCATATTATTTTCTAACTAATGAACTCCTCTCTAAAACTAGCAACTAAACAATTGCTAGTTCATTATATTTTATTAAAGATAACTTTGAACAATTAAATCTCAATATAATTATAAAATGATCTCAATATAATTATAAAATGAGTGTAATAAAGTACAGATGTTGTGACGTGTGTAGACAAAATTATCATGTAGATATACATCAAACTCAAAAAGGGTTAACAATTGGCACTCGAAAAATACTCTTCAAGACAAAATATGGCGAATTTTTTTTTCATAATCGTCTTAGTTAGAACACATAAGTGAATTGTGAATTGTGGTTCATTTTATATTAATCTAGATTCTACGAGAACTTCTTGTTGCTTCCAAGTGCAGGCTATTTTAAGTCAAATGACATTTATAGTGTCATAGGAGTAAATCAATGTTTTAGGGTGTGTTTGGTTTACCACTTATAAAATATAATTCTCAATAATTAAAAATAGAATATTGTTTTAACATAATTATAAAAGGGAAAACTACACATAAGTAGAGTTAAAAATCCTAAATAACAAAATAATCTATTTTAAAAGTTTATTTTTCAATTTGATTGAATCAAATAAAATAATTACAAATGCATTAAAATTTATTTTTAAGACCCAAAATATCCTCCAAGCCCTTATTGTAAAATACCAAAATAACCTTCTTATAATCAATAATCATATATTTCCAAAATACTAAAGAAAAAAAAAAAGGAAACTATAACCTTGCTTAATACTAATAGTTGATATTAAGGTGCTAAATTTAGCAAGTGTTAATTACGACCAAAAGTTTAATATATACCAAAGCTGAAAAAAAAGGTGTTAATTACGCTAAATATAATTTAAAGGAGATGGGAGTCCAAGATAAGGCTTTATCAAGAATGCCCTTCACATAATATGATAAATACTAATTGTAAGATAAAAGAAAATTATTTAAGAATGAATTAATACTTGGAAAAAAAATCTGAAAATAGTTATAGCAAATTTGGATAAATTCTCTGATCTATTTAGTCAAATGACATCCATCTACAAAAGTTTGCATCTTTTTTATCAGACAAGAACCATTATGTTCTAAGTTAGAATATAAATTTAAATATATATATATATATATATATATATATATGGATGGTTATAATGAGATTATGAGAGCAACCTTTTAGACGTTCTTTATTAAAAAAACAAATCATTGGATTTTATCTCTTCCATATAAATAAAAGATGAGTTATCATTGTTTTTTGAACAAAAATCTTAACGTGGTAAAGGATTTGCATCGCATTCTTAAGTAGTTTGAATTAAATGATAATCAAACTAATTTTAAATTATCTATTTTAATATTAAAAAATTATATATTTTTAAAAAGGATATTTTGGTATTTTGGAATAAGAGCTTAGAGGGCATTTTAGACCTTAACAATAATTCTTGATACATTTGTAATTATTTTTCTAATTCAATCAAAGTAAAAAATCAACTTTTAAAATTGATCAATTTGTTATTTAGAATCGCTAACCCTATCTACGTGCAGTTTCTCATTATAAAATACAATTTTTTGAATAACCGAAAATAGAATATTGTTTTCACATAATTATAAAATATAAATTTTTGAAAATATATATTTTTATAATTGAATTTTTAAAAAATTAAAACAAACAGAATTTTTATACAGTTTTCTGTTTTTAATTTCTCTGATAACAAAAAAAATTGTTTTTTGAGTAATAATTAACAAACTAAGCAACCGCTTAGTTATTGATCATTTAATCTATTTAATTAAAATAAGGGTAGAATGGCAATACTGTTATATAATGGTGAACGACATAATAATGTACCCGCGCTGAACCCAGGTCAGGTTCAATTTTCAAATCCCACACATGCTCGGCTTTTTTCCACACAGTTGCTCTATCCTCTTACAAATCTATCCAATTATGTATTTTCACTTTCTTCCCATTTTTTTTATCGAGCAAGAAGCACACATCACCCAGGTTATCCTTCGCAGATAGAAATTTTCAGTATTCACTCTGCAAAGTAGAGAGATATCACCGGTCCACAAAGCCGTTAATAGCTCGTTCCTAATTGAACCATATTTCTTCAATAATTTTTTAAAAAATATTTCTCTTCAGCTATAATTTATTTTGGCAATTATTCTCGACCAAAAGTACATAACATAACAGTTTTTTTTTCCCCCAAAATTCAGCCATTTGTCTTCCATTAATTCATTCATCAAACATAAAATATTTTCCACATCAGCCTATTTATCTCCACGTCAGCCATTTCGTAGTAAAATTAATCTACCAAAGTATTAACAAATAACCTTTCAATTGAAAATTAAGTGAAATACTGTGGTGTAAATGCATCCAACAAGTGAATGAGTCATCGTGATATAAGTCAGAAATACAACATTTGACAAGAAAATTGTCATTGCAATCACACAACCACAGTCATATTGTTTCAAGTCCAATAACATCAAGTGTATATCCTAAAATGGTGAAATTACACCTATTTTTTAGGTCTATAAAAATAATTAAATTCATCATTTAAATTTTAAAAATAACAAATATAATAAATTTATACCTTTTAAAAAAAACAATATATATATATATATATAGTAAATTTATGAGGGAGAAATTCATTAGCCAAGAAGATACGAATTTGAAAGACTGACCACAAAGAGAGAATTGATGCCACGTAACCTCCATTTCCAATCTCTCTCTTCTATTTCATAGACTAGATCCATGATTGGGCTGTTTATGCCTCGCACGATCTACTTTGACCTCACCCTCTCTCTCCTCAAGCCACGTATTTGTAAACCTTGCCACTTACCCATCACTGCTTGCCACGTGTACACTCTTTTCACCTTACCCACCCCATCTCTCTCCTCCGCCAAACAAATCCCCTCTTCTCTCACTCCCCTCCCTGAAAACCCTCCTCCCTTTCCCTCTAACCCCATTTTCTCACCCATCCCAACTCTCTCTCTCTCTCCACTTTCTCACCCAGAAAGAAAATTACCCAATTCACAAACTTTCCCAATTTCAAACAAGAAAACAATCCCAACCCAATTCTCTTCTCCCAAGCAGCAACAATCAAACCCTATTCAATTTCACAAACAGAATGTCAGGCGGGGTTGGTCCATGCAGTGACATACGTCTCCCACATGAAGAAGAAGATGCGAAAACAAGTCATGACACTTCCTTCTCAAAGAGCGGCCAAAAGCCTCACGCCCCCAAGAGCTTACTCACTCTCCGGCAGCTCAACGTCCTCGCCGTCATCGTCGTCCTCGCCGCCAGCGGCATGGTGAGCGCCACCGACTTCGCTTTCGTCATCTTCTCTTTCATCTACATGGCCTTCCTTTCCAAGGTTGCATTCCCAGCTCTCTCCCCTTCCACCGAACCCCCAGTTTTTGGCCAAAACAATAGGGTTTTGGGCCTCTACGTGACGTTCGCCGCCGTTATCGGACTTTTCCTTCCGATAGCTTACATTTTCGAGGGCATAGTTGAAGGTGACAAGGAGGGCATCAAAGCAGCAGCTCCGCACGTCTTCCTGCTAGCCAGTCAGGTGTTCATGGAAGGAGTGACTTTCAGGGACTGTTTTTCGCTGCCCATTCGGGTTTTCGTGCCGGTGATCTACAATTCAATCAGGATTTTCTCAATTATGGACTGGCTGAGCAGTGAATTCTCGAAAGTGAAGGATGAGTATGGTGGAAGTGCAAGGAGGTTGTATGTTGGAAGAGGGCTTGCTATTGCTAATATGGCTTTATGGTGCTTCAATCTCTTTGGGTTTCTGTTGCCTGTTTATCTTCCCAAGGCTTTCAAGATATACTATTCTAAGCTTTTGAAAAAAAATTAGGGTTTGTGGTATATGCAGATATGCACATCATGGATCATATATGTGCCTAATTACATAAGTGCAAGTATGCATTTGTAGTGAATTTTAGATTTCTCTGTAATGTTTCTCTTTTGTTTATGGAAATATGTATTTCAAGCTCATGTATTGTGAATTATTGATAGGTGCATAATAAAGGCACTCATCTTTTATCATTCATTGTTTGGTTGGAAAGAATGGTAAAGGGAGGAAAAAAGAAGGGGATATTGGTTCGGTTCTCACGGGTTTGGAACCGGATAAACACGCGGTTTCAGATTTTTAGAATTAAGACCGGAACCGTAAATGTGAGAACAACCGAAATGTGAGAACAACCGAAACCGAAGACCCGGTTCAGTTTGGTGGTTTTTTCGTGCACCCCCTAGCTGAAAGGAATGGAAAGGGTGAAAGAAAGAAGGGACATGATATCTTTCCAGCCTACCATTTTTCATTCCTTAATAAATGAGGGATAGAAGGAATAATTATAGTATAAACATGAAATAAATTTTTTACACTTCAATTATTTATGAAATTAGTTGTTGATATGTCATAAAGGGATAATAAATTGGTAAATAAAATATGTTCAAAGCAATTTTTCCAACCCACCTATCAAATAAAGAAGGGTTACATTCTTACCCTCCCTTCCCTACCAATGTCTCTTCCATCCTTCTACTTTATTTTTACATCCTTCCTATCAAATAAAACCATTAGTGAAAAAATAAAAAATTGAACACTGAAAATACAAATTTCTTAAATTGGCTGAACAGACAAAAATCAGATAGAACAGTACATAATTACAATCATATCTGAGGCAGCATATACCATTGCAAGAAAATGAAAAGCAAAGGTTTGGAAAATTTACAACAGCATCATTAACAAAATCTGAACACTGATACAATTTCCACCATCCTCTGTACAGCAGTTTGACCCCATAAAATAGTGCCCTAATTAAAGCTACTTATTCTCCTGGTTTATCCTTCTCTTCCTTGCAAATATATGTAAAAATGTATATATTATCTTAATGCCACATTTAGTGAAAGATTTGCTATACAGTTGATCATCAGACGCCATCTTCCCACCAGTAAAATCAAGAATGGCTGAAGAGTCAAAGAAGGCTTACACACTCAACTTTGTACAAGCCGATGTAGGGCTGTATGCGAAAATATTTGTGACAAGAAAGTCTTCTATTTCCCAGGTAGCAAGCTTTGCCTAATTACACAGGTGCAAAATTTGTTAACAGGAGATCACTTCCGTTGAACAGCTTAGCTAGCTTACCACCCGAGGAACTGTAATGCTACAAGTGAACGCAAATGAGCTTACTTCCTCACCGCTTCAGCTTCCAAATACCCTTAGCTTACTCCAGGGTTTTCTTTTCTACAACCTGGGTCCTTATTGTACAAATTAGCTTCCTCTAAAGTCTGGAAATATGACAAATAAATTGATCTTTTAGAAGCCGAAAAATAATAAGAGTCTATAAAGCTTGAATGAGTCAAGGGGTCTGCAACAACACATGAAGTTAGTTTTCTTGGCCTTGGCCTGGCAAAGGAGAAGAGGGACTGCAATCCAGGGATGGATTCAACTTCTCATGATTCCTCTAGAATCGCTGAGATGCACAATCAGTCGAGATCGATCGCCCATCAATAAGTTCCCCATTAGCAGGCCTTCTAAATCTCTTTCCAAGAGCATCACATTCAAATGATACCAATTCCTGGAAAGCATGAGATCCTGACTGCATTCCTCGAAAGATGTCACGATTTGGACTGTGATAGGAAGGGCCATTGACATAGCAACTCTGTGGGGGCTGTGACATTCTTTCAAAGTCCTCTTGCAAGTAAGCTGACTGATTAAGATGATGAAAAGGCATGGCACCACTATCACATGTTATAGGTGTGGATGAACCTGAAGCAGTGCATGGACTAGATATAGGTGGAGGAGACATTAATCCATTCAGGTGTTGCGGTGACCTAGGATGTACAAGTGGGCTCCTAATTGGAGAGACTGGGCATGATATATTCCTCTGGATGTGGATATCACTGAAGATAAGAATATTGAAATTAGACAAAAGGCTTGATTTTGTTATTTATTTCTGAATAAAAATATATATATTCTTCATTTATATTGGTTTATCCATGCAATAAACTAAAGCAAATGGTGCAAGCTTTGGACGTGTGTGTGTGTGTGTGTGTGTGTGAGAGAGAGAGAGAGAGAGAGAGAGAGAGACCTGGAAATGAAACCAGCTTTTGAAATTCTAGCTGAATGGATAGGAAGTCTTTCTGAATTCAGGGTAGCAATGTTTCTTGCATATCCAGTTCCCTGAGAAAGCTCAAGAAGCACAGTAGTTAAAACACAAGCCACCTTGAAGAAATGCCACATAGAAGACAACTAAGCAAGAATATCTTAACAATATTCAGAACATTTCCCAAACCAGAAGCTATTAAGCACTAGTGCTTGATACACGAGAAAATGCATGTGCAAGTGTGCACCATGCATCAAACGAGGGAATTATATCATGCAAATGGGTGTACCTTGGTATGGCAACTCTCTTACTTAACCAAACCATATTCCGACTTTTTTTAGGTCAGGTGTGTACATATATTGGTCGGCGTAAACATACTTTATCTGGTGTTTTTTCTTTATTCCAGTCAACTTGCAGAATTGTAGGTGATACTGCCCATGGATTTACCACATGGATCTGTGTTGGTTAGTTCCAATACAAATTTTATTGGTATAGGTGATAGTTTAAAATTACCATCGTGCATCCACATGTCAGCGCACTAGCTCGGGTTTTATAAGCGACGTCCTCCTAAATCCTTTTATCCCCTAGCAATTCAAGATACAAGAGATCAGCCTATTAAGTCTATCTCCTAGTTGTCAATTGCAATGTTTAGCTCATCCATATTTATTCTATATTAGCTACAATGCATGAACTGCTTCTGTGACTTGTATTGATTCCTTTGGATTTTGAAACAACACAGTCAATTTTGTTTAAATAGTCCTACTTCAGTTACAAAAATCTATTTCACATGGAACCAACAATAGAAAGTTTCCCATTTCATATGGGCAATTTCACGTCTCTTCGGTCAATTTTTTATTATCAACTAATTTATCGCCTTCGTTTAGAGATTTGATAATACATTCTGATTTGATATTTATTTTCAATAAAATTATACAAGAATTTCAATGTTTAAATCAAGGGTTCATGTTGTTCATCTTGCATTATCTTAATAGCTATTAGCTATGTTACATGGACTTGGGAACGTGTGTCGGGTAGGTATCCAAGCATTGGACATGTCAAATCAAAAACAGGACACGGGGCCACTGTTAAGTATTCAAATTATTTAATCTTTTTATTCTATTTTTTAGACTAAAATAATGTCTTTATATAACATACTCTCTAAGATAGGCATTTCACTCATTTTAAAACAATAATATAACGAATTGAATTATATGATATACTTTTTAGGTGCATGTCCAACCAAAAGTATCGGACACATATCCCATACCCATGTCCAAGTAAAGTGTGTCAAACACGGTTACTTCACCTACTTTCGAAGAGTCCATGTAACATAGGCTATTAGAAAATTTTCCTAGATAGGTCATGAATTTTTCTTAAAGAGTTTAAATATCTCGTTTGAAAAAAAAAAAAAAGGATCCTATAGCAACGTTAAAAAATAAATAAATAAAGAGTAGCTTGCCAAAGAGGTAATATTTGCAATTGATTTTATCTTAAAGAAAAATAAAAAAGAATAGATCTTGGGGAATTTGGGGAAGAGCAAAGTCCTCAAATAAATGGTAAACTTTAGACTAGTGCTGGTCAAAGGAAATCAAGAAATAATATTTTGTTATGAATCTTTCTAGGATATATATATATATATATATATAGATAAGGAGATTGACAAAATAATATTACCTTACTAGTTATCATTTGGCCTTTTAGAGATCGGTTTTGTTACAATAGCTTGTTCTATGTTAAATAAATTTAAAATGTAACATCAGATTGTTTTGACTCCTATACATTCCATTTCAGAAAACGAAATTCCTAGAAATGGACTGACAACTTTATCCTAAAGTATCCGTGTCATTTCTACCATTGCATCCACATCATCTCGACTCTCGCAATATGTTTACAATACAAAATAATTATAATAATAATAATTAATAAATAAATAAATAATAAATAATATCTTGTAGCAACCAATTTTCTAATGTTAAAGTGTTTGACCTTGTTATTCTAATAAAAATTGCTTTCCCCCGTTTCCCTGCTTAAGTTATATTGCGTAATGACCCTCAGTTCTAGAAAACTATCACAACCATTCTTACGTTCAAACCAATCTAGACGCTTTGACCTCTTCATTCTGATGCTAACTGGAGGTTAACTAGATTTTATATTTTGTTTACTTTCACATTTAGCTAGAGTCTAAAGTTTCTAATTTTGTTGCTTCATTTTTCTCTTATTTTTCTTGAAAGACCAAAACACCAAAACGAAAAAAATAAAATATGTGAAATTCCATTTTGAACCTAGAGGTCGTTGATCTAAGGGTCATAAATTTATTCATCCCAAGCCAAAAATATCCAAATTTGAGTATACTTGTACTACATAACTTTGGCTCAAAAACAGGAATAATAAACATAGGTCGATAGTGAGGGGCTTAGAAGAGGTGACACATTTAAGCATGAATCCAATGGGTTATGTCCAGATTGAGCATAAAGGTAAGATTACGTACATTTAAGCCTCACCAAACCCCGCAATGGCGGGAGCCTCGTGCACTAGCCTAGCCCTTTTTCATTGGTCAGGCACAATGATGATGGAGAAAAGCCCAGAGCCAATCACATTATGGCCTAGTCTACCACCATGCAGGGTGGCATCACTGGACCCAGTAAGTTTGGGCCAAACAAGTCAACAACAATCTGTTGCTAGGTCCATACTAGATGCTGATGCACCATGTGTCATAATTATGATGTATTCAGACAAATCCTGGTATACTTGCTGCGGGGCTACCTCAACATGCCCCAGAATGTATTCATGACCCAACACCTCCAGAACTCTACAAACCATCCTCGTGAATGAGGCATGATTCATTAAAGCACCGGAAGTCCAGGTTCCACATCTGACCGGGCAGGCATCAGAGTCAAGGTGCATTAAGCAGGGTTCAGTTTCATTTTCCTGACTGAACAGCTAGCATGACTATTTCTTTCCCAGAAAAAAAATGGAGCCATTTCTCAACTCTTTATGATGGGCTTGATGTGGCTGTAGACAATGCCACAAAGATCCTCTAGCAATACGACATGCAGGTGATCGCTCAAGCCATTGGCTATATCTTAGCAGGAAGTTTCTAGTGAGCATGAATAATGTGTCTTTTTTTCTTTTTCTTTTTTCTTTTTCTTTTCTTTTTTTTTCTTTTTTTGGGTACAAGTAACGACATGATTTATGTGCCATACCACTAGTACCAGAGTTCACACAGATTAACAAACAAACATAAACCAGGTTAAGATAAACTTCCAATTGTAGAATATGTAAATCTACTCTTCATTAAAGGAACATTTAAATGTTTGGCAACTAAAATAAAGGTAATTAAAATGACATTAATGGCAAAAGATGATGTTAATATTAGGATAAACAGTGAGATTTTACGGATGAAAAAAGTTTGTATCATGAGATGGCATCAATTTGACCTCAGGAGAGAATAAATATCATAAATAGATAGAAAATACCAGAGATTTCACTCCATTTGCAATTCTGGTGGGTGGATCTGACAGCTCTGGCCCTATGCTCGGTTTTTCCAAAGGTGCAGCATTTTTCACAAAAGGATGCTCCAAAAGCTGAGTAGCTGTAGGACGATGCAATGGATTGCGTCTTAAACACTGCCTCACAAAATCCTTTCCATCATCTGAGAGGTGATTGGGGATTGCAGGGAGTTCTTTACTATTTCCAATCTTAAACATTGCAGCAACCTTTAGGACAGAACATGCAAGGTATCACTTAATAAGTAGAAAGAACTAGTCTCCATCAAATTATCAGCAATCTCAGGATCCAAGAATTTTGTCTAAAATTAGTAATTCAGATATAGAAGCAGAAATCCATTCCAGGGACTTTTGATTAAACAAATATATAAAGAAAGATTAAAGTTACTAATCTCTGTATATAAATTACTGACCCCTTCATACTGGCTCCAGGGCGGTTTTGTTGTAGCCATTTCCAAAACAGTGCACCCAAGACTCCATATATCAACAGGTAGGCTGTATCCATTTGAGTTCTTTATAACCTAAATAAAAGTTGGAATATATATATTTGAGAGATAAAACAGGAAAGCATGTCACTGTCACGAACTTATGGCTGCAAAAATATATTCTGACCTCAGGGGCCATCCAGTAAGGGCTTCCTTTGAATGACAATGGACATGACTGCCCAGAGATCTGCAAGTTTGAAGCATTTAATGAGATTTCTTATGAGAGCAGCATCAGAATATGCAAAGTCTTCTATTTTCCTTTCTTTTGGTAGGTATGAACGTGCAACCTCATGCTTAATGTAAAGTATATTTATTATTAACATGACATATTTTATATGTTTTTCTGGGTACACTTGAACAATAAGAATATGATAATAGTCTTTACTAGCAAGATTATGCTGATTAAAAATATGTCAGTGATGGCATCCAATTTGGAAATATCCCTTTCTGGCAACAAAAATAGTTTTTGCTTATATTGCAATGTGCCCATTTGTTATTTAACTCATATCGTATTGGGTTTGATTCCATTTCACTTAAAAAGAGAGTGCTTACACTTACATGTTTTGCCATTCCAAAATCTGCCAACTTGATGCGGCCATTTGGGTCTACAAGGATATTTGCTCCTTTAATGTCCCTGAAAACAAAGTACAATTGAGTAAAAAGGATGGTTTGTGTTCATAGTTGGGCAAATAATACAACAACATCCAGAATAAAGCAGCCAGAAGATAATAATTCAGCTAACAAAATAAAAAATGGCTAATTGGATCACCTATGGACGGTATTTTTTGCATGTAAATATGCAACCCCTGACAAGATTTGTTTAGTATAACTACGAATTGCTAATTCACCAAGCTGTCCATATTCTTGGAGAAGCTTATAGATGGAACCACCAGATACATACTCCAAATATATATAAAGTTTATCACCTACCTGCTCAAGAAACATAAATTCAGAGGTAGAGTTGGATTAAAGAATTACCAGAAGTGTCAAATGAAAATATAATACTCAATGTGATGCAACATTACTGTATATCAGTTCACAGTGCTACTGCTATGCTTATAGACAAATCAAGAAACTAAATAATTTCCATAAATGCCTGAAGTTCTTCAGAATGTACAAGAACTAAAAATCCTTAAGAGTCAGTATCACTTTAAAAAATCAATTGTTAACATCAAGACAACACCAGTCTAGTTTTGAAAAGTTACAAGCAGAAAATAAAACATAAAATTGAACTGCTAGCTAAAAAAAAATACACTTACTGCTTCAGACCCATAATACTGCACAATATTTGGATGCCTTAAGCGACTCAATAGAGAGATCTCCTGTAAAAAAAATTAAAATGTAAGAACTTTCCTGTAGAAGCTACACTAATAATTCATTTAGTAGGAGGGAAGAGGGGGAGAAAGGAAGGAGAGAAAGGAAAGGGGGAGGGATGGATAGGTTTTCCATTATCTGTTAGGAGGTAAAGTAGAAGGGAAGAAAGAGAAGGCTGAAGTTTGAAGTTTATTCCTCCCAGCACACAGTATTGCTTTCCTCCCAAAAAAATGGAAGGTAAGGAGTGAACAAAATCCCTCACTTTTTTGACATTCTTATTCCAATTCCTTTAGAAAGTAGGATAAAATAGTAAAAGAACAAAATAGCTATTCCTTACGTTGTTAATTCCTTCTTGCTCAACCAAATAAAAGGATGGAATTCATCCTACTTTACTGAGCAATAACTTCTCCATCCTTCCTACCTTCCCTTCTAACTTCCAACCCATACCAAAAGGAGCAAAAGGACAAAAAAATAATGTATCCTTGATGGTAACTGATTCATCAAGCCAACTATCCATAAATCTATTCACTAATAAACTTACTTGTACCAACTGCTTTGCACTTTCCTTTGACTTTGCATCATCCGAGAATAATGTTACCTCCTTCATTGCACACATTTCGCCACTATCACTAAAACCAGTGAATATAAGATCAGATACGCCAAAATTCAACAAATGCTAACATTTGAGAAATAATGAAGTCCAAAAATATACACATACATCTGTAATCAAACAAATTAGATGTCCAAAAAAGATGGCCTTGCGCATGATAATTAAGAATATGATCAATCGTAGTCTTCGCAACTCCACTATGTTTCAAGTAAAACTAAAGGCAAAATCATACAGTGATACTCTACATAATAGAAATACATAAGCAGAAAAGAAAAACATTCTTTTTGAAACATAAAAATTCATAAACAAGTCCTGAGGCTATGAAAAAGAAATAGATTAGAAACGAAAGAACAGAAAAAGAAAAATGCAAAGGAATTTGAGCATCAATCATTTGGGCATACTTGTTAAATCCAACATAAACGTGTCCAAATGAGCCTCTACCCAGCAACTTCCCCTTTTTCCAGCAAGAGCTCGGGCTTGTTGGATTCTCTGCTCTCCCTGGACTTCGTGGTATAGAGGGAGATGTTGCTGCTGAATTAGAGTGAGAAAAAAGAGAAGGACCGGAAATTGATATAGGAGGAAGGGGCAACCGATGACTTTGTTGTTTCCCATCATCAGGCCAGTTAGTCTGTGATTCAGTGGCTGTCCCTCCAGCAAGTGGATGAAGTGGTGTGACAGCACCACTATGAATTCTGGAGCTGGGGCCAGGGCTAGTCATTCTGGGACTTGGAATTGGAGAATACTCAGGGCTACCCCTGCTTGGCTGCCAAAATAATTGACCTGACATATCACCTCCCGTTGAATTATGCCCGGAATTGTGACCTGAGCCCGGGCTGGAGCAATGGGCTGATCCAAGTAAAGGAAGATCTGGATAAGGCCTTCCATCCCAGAAAGCAGAAGTTATAACTTTCTCAGTGCCAAATGATCTCATCGGACTTCTCGAAGGACTTGACATCGAGCTGTCTGGAGCACTGCAAAAGGCACCATGGTGAGGAACCTGTTGAGTCAGCACATGACTGCTTAAAGGCCTCCTTATAGGCGACAAAGGAGAGACCTGCTTGTTGAATAAAGCATCCGCTGGTTTTAGTACCTCCCTTGAGTTTATTTGTTTGACAGAGGACTGATCCTTAGCCATCATGCTTCAGCAAGAATAAGTAAGAAGTCAGGGATGAAAAGACTCCGGAAAGGAGGAAAGGAAAAAAAAAACCAATAATGCATTACTGCAAATAATTCATGCAAAACCATACACATTTGGCATAATAGCCACTTTATCTAACCCAAAAAAGGAAAGGAAAAAGAGAAAACATAACAGCCAACTGCAGACACACGGCTTTTAATGATTTCACATGCAGACTCACCTGGAAGGGCTGCCTGCAGTAGTTCTACTTCCATTTTCATAGTCAAACGCCAGGGGACTATGCAGACGTGACTCAGCAGGATCATCACTGTCAATGGAGCATTCACTAGATACAGAAACAGTGACCAAATCTCCATCTAAATCTGTTGGATCTGGCCTATTTCGGATGCATCCAGGCCTTGGAAGAGGTAGAAACAGTGATGGCTTAGAGCTCTTTCCAAATCTTGGGTTTGCTGATATACTGATTTCAGAATCTGTACGGCCTATGCTAGCAGGGTGAAGATATGGAAGTGGAAGTGGTTGGGCATGACTTTCAACAAAACTTTGACATCTTGATACTTGTTTGGAAGGTGGCGTTGACCTTGACTCTGCCTGCAATTTAGAACACTTTATTGGAGCTGTGTCACTGCATTGTCTTCGAGACCCTCCAGATCTACCAGCAGGTTTACATTCAGAAGAGATCTTAAATTTTCGATGTAGTGTGTCGATAAAACTCTCCTTGCTTGTTTTCTTCTCTGCTTCTTTGGATGATGGCTTCCCCCACCATGAAGGCATTTCTTTAATTACTTATTTACAGAGCTATTGCAAGGTTTCTAAAGTACATCCACTCATCAATAGTCCACGCTAATTGAATATCACCTGTAAATGAAGTAACAAACTAGATCCCATATTGTCACAGTGCATGGGGCGTTGGTCAAACAATGCCGTTCACCACGAAGAAGTATCTGAATGACTACAAGTTTGCAACATCTAAAGGACAGCACACAATTATAACCTATTGAAAACAAAAACGGGGAGAAAAAAAAAAAAAAAAACACATTTTTAGTATTTTCTAAAGTTGAGAGACCATGATATTACCATAACCAGGAAAACACTGCAAAGTAATGCACAAATTAGACAGCCCAAAGGATTAAGAGAAAGAAAATTTTGTTACTTCACTATATAAGGATAAGATATAATGAACAATAATTTTATACACAACTACATACAGGCTGACACATATAAACAGAAACTTACACAACTTATAGCAGGTATCCAAGATTCTCTTAGCTCTATATATTCTATAAAAGTTATTCCATGGACAAATCCCAAAGAAAATTTTGCTTAATTATTTTCTTGGATACCTGCTATAAGTTGTGTAAACAAGAGTTGCTCTTTGTTAGGAGTACACGTCAAAACTAAAAAGGGGCATTATGAAAAATCAATGGTACTTCCAGTGGTACATACAAAAATGAAAAGAAGGTAACGAACGAAGCATCTTTTTTCTGGTTCTTTAACTTCATAACTATTACACTGAATAGTTAGGTAAAGCCTTTATTTAGTTAAATTAAATTTCATGAGTATCACAATTCTAACCATTACCTCCATCAAACAAAGCAAAGTAGATAATAAACCCAGAAGAATCACATTTATGCATAAAAGATACAGGTTAAAATATTAGTTAAGCAAATTAAGAAGTGACAAAATATCAATTCTCTGGGGTAACGTTCAACAAACATTAAAAACACATGTTTAAGTTGGTTGAGAAGACTTCATGGTATGCTGCAACCAGAAATCCTTCCCAGGACTGCCGTAAGACGAAATCGGTGCAGTGAGGGGGCAAGAATCGCCGTGTCATAGGCTTATCTCAAATTCAGAGAGATAAAGGTGGCAAAGGAAACAATGATCATGTAAACTCAAGTTTGTTGGAGGGAGACACCATGGTCTCAGAGTTGGTCCTTTAAAAGTACAAATTTCATTTCAGTTTTAGAAAAAGATCTGATGGAAAAATATTATAATATTATAAATGTTGCAACAGTTCGTTTCAATAAAAGGCTAAAAATAGTCTTCTGGCCACATGTAGCGTTGTAGAAACAGCATCAGGTTTTCTAACGATTCTTCGAAAGAATAAAGAAAAAGAATGAAATGCTTTAAAAATTATAAGAAAGAAGGCATTTCAAAGCATTTTCCTTTCCTGTCCTTCTTTCTTCCTTAGAATCAAGCACAACAAGCTTTGGTTTCACAACTTCGTATCTCTTTCATTTTACACTCTTGTACTAATGTATTTCCAATTTTCATCAAATGATTCTACTCCATGCATCGTCATTTGTCACAATAGATCATTCCAAATTAATTCTTAAATACAAAATTATCAGAGTTTTGGTAAGTCTTAAAAAAAAAAAATATATATATATATATATATACACACACACACACACACAATTGTAGATTGAATTTTATCCTTAACACAGCATATTTATGCTCCTTCCATAGCAAAGAACATTTTGCAGGTGCAAGGTAGCAAAGAACCTAGTCTGGGTATCCATAAAGTGTTTTTGCGGCTTTATTTAAAGAATAAAAATATCCATTTCCAATAATGTAGATTGAGAAAAAACTTTAAACGCATCTGATGATTTTCCCAGAAACAACATTTTGCAGCTACTTGAAAAGATGTCATTTTCATAAACTTTTAACAAAAAAAAATTAAATATTCTGCCAAACATATTTTCCGAATCAGTTTGATGTTTTTTTCTCAATTTAAGGTAATCAATATTGATCTATCTTTTGAGAAAACAATAAATAGCCAAAAGTATCGAGCCAACTGAGATCAGCAGAAATATACGGTTAATTTGAATCCAATTTCTTACATTTTTCTCTCAAATCATACCAAATAAAACGTAAGATTCAGCACTAAAGATTCTCTTTTTTTTTCCCTTCTCCCAATTTTTTCTCACCAACCAAACAAAACAATCACACAAATTATCAAATTCATTTTTTACTAATTTCTTACTAAATAGGTCTGTAATCAGCTTCATCTCCACCACTCTAAAACACGGCATTTGAACACAGATCTATTTGTACATTGAAAATAAACAAAAACAAATTATTAAATGTCAACAATTATACTATAAATTAAATTAAATTAACAAAACTCACCTAGATTCTCAGGTTCAAATCGCTCAAGCACTGCATTCAAAATTCGGCGGGTGAATCTACCCGAGAGAGCAAACTAAGACACAGAAATCTTGGAGAGAGAAAGAGAAGGAGAGAGAGAGAGAGATAGAGATTCTCTAATTTTGAAGAATGCTGTTATGAAGAGATCGCGGAGAGAGAGATAGGGACTGAGGGAGTAGTATACTAGTATGTCTGAGCGAAGAGAGGTGGAGCTGTTTTTTGAGTGATGAACTTAATACACTTAAAAAAACTAATTTTATAATTAATAAATATAATAGTAATACACTACTAATACAGTACAGTATTGTTTTTTTCACTCCCATTTAGTAAAAAATATATATATATTTTTAGAAGTTATATCTAATCACAACCTTTCTAGGTTACGATTTGAAAAAGGTAAATAAACTAAAATGATTTGAAATGAGAACCATGTTTTGTGTTTTGAATAGACAGTAATTAAAAATAAGGATAGAGTTTAGTGTTGAGTAAACTAAAAAAATTCTTTCGTTTATATTAAATCTTTTAATCAAATAAAAGCTAGGATTAGACTCTAGATCAGATTTTGATCTGAATATCATAGGAGTCTAGAGCATTCATTTCGATAACAGTAAGCAATATGAAGTGGATAATTCGCTAATAAACAAATTAGATATAAATTATGGTCAATCTGAAAATAATTCGATTTAATATAATATTTTTTATAATTAAAAATGAAATACCAATTTTTTTATTTTTTTTTTAACATTAAAAATTTTTAACCAATTTTTTTATTTTTTTTTAACATTAAAAATTTATAACGAAAATCATTATTTAACAAATCAGATATTAGATCAGATATCCAATTGATAACAAAGCCAATATAGATTCACTTAAGTTATAAATAATCTATTAGATTATTATTCTTTGTCGGATTTGGATCGTAGCAAGCCTAATCTAGTTCAAATCATATGATTTGTAGTCTAGATAGGATCTACTTAAAATTCAAATATCGTAAACAAGTGAGGGTTATATCCTATATGATATGATTTGGATCCTCTAAGTTAAATATTTTTTAACTTAAATTCGCTACCGATTGACACTGTGACATTTAAAATCTATTTACTATTTGTGTTAAATCACGTCAACTAATTTAAAAATTTTTTAAAAATTGCACCATTTTGAGATAAGAAAAATTTACCAAAGTTGCCCAGGGGACTTGACCGAGTTGATAAGGTAACGACCTAGGAACGCTCATATCTCGAGTTCGAACTCGTCCATCGTCATTATAACCCTCGACTGAGATTGTTACTGAGGTGTGGAGCCGACGACAACATCCCCGGTTTGTAGCTTGGGGTGGGTCCTGAAGGGCCCTACCCAGGTGAGTTCCGGTGCCAGCAAAAAAATAAATAAATAAATTTTATCAAAATTTAAAAACTGCATCATTTTAAATTAAGGAAAATTTATCATACTTAACGTTGTTATCTCTCCCTCATCTTTTTCAAAAAAAAATTCTCCCTTTCCCTCCTCTTTATTCTTATCTTAAAGTTCTCTCTCATCTTTTCTACGCTTTTGATCGTATGTTCCTAACTTCATCAATATCCTGCTTATATATATATTTCTAACCATTACTATTGCCAGTAAAAATTGCATGTTTTGCAATCCCAATCGTGAGAACGAGTAACAAGAAAGGGAGGGAGGATATTTTTTTTGCAAAAGACGAGGGAGGGAGGATTTTTTTTTTTTTTTTTTTTTTTTTGCAAAAGATGAGAGAGAGATAACGGCATTAAATGTGGTTAGAGAATGGTGAATTTTTCTTAATTTTTTAAATTAGTTAACCAGTAGTAGATTAATTTTTAAATGTCACGTATTAATTTGTAGTGAATTCAATTTACGATAACTTAAAGAATATTTAACTTAGAGGATACAAAATATATATAAAATTGAGTAATTCAACCAAACATGTCATGGTATCTTATTCTTGAATGGAATTGATTTATATAAACACGACATGTGTGTATTGGTAGTGTACTATAGTGTTAGTAGTTTTTTTTGTTTTTTTTTTATTTTCGCTTAAAGACATATCAAAATATTTTATATGACATAGTATTATTGGAAACTTTTAAAGAAAATTGGAAAAGAGTCAACATTGAAAATATAAAGATCATGCTTCAAAACGAAAGATAATCTACAGCGACATTTTCCATTCTTAAAGTGGTGAAACAAAAGGATAGCCCCTGGACACATCACGAATCGGATTGGTTCGATTTGAAAGTAAAATTGAATTCAATCTTGTCCCCATGAATTGGTAAAATTTTAAATTGAACCGATTTGTGGAGATCTTCAATCCGAACTGAATTGAATCCGAACCAAATCGATCAGTGAAATAAGGATTGGTTCGGTTTTCATGGATTGAACTTTTCAAACAGCCTAATATAATTACACTTTATAACACATTAGAATGTCAAATTAGTAATTAAAAAAGTGTAACTAACTTTTTAACATATATCATCACAAACTTAAATTACTTAACAACAAAATAAAGTTGTAAATCATGCAAAAATGAAAATAATAATACAGTACCAAATATAAATTATCCAAATAGAACAAAACAAAACACTTAAATAGTAGCTCATTAGCATAAAATATATATATATATATATATATATATTAAATAATGAATTAAAAAAATAGAAATAAGTAAGTATATATAGAACTATATATATAATATTAATATATAATTAAGGTAAGAGATCGGATTGGATCGATTTTTTCAGTGTTAAATCCGTTAATCGAACCGCGAATAGCGGATAACTATTTTTCTAAACCATCACCGAATCATGAGATTTGAAAACTAAACCAAACTACACAGATCAAATTGATTCGGACCGAATTGATGAATTATTTGCTCCCCCCTATATAGTGAGGTGTTTTGTTTTGTTTTTATATTTTTCTTCTTTTTTTGGCAAAAGGATAGCTGAGATGATAGAAATAATTAAGTAAAAATGGAGCAATTTGGACAAAATGGAGACGGCATTTTCTGCAATTGATCAGTAGACTATTTTGTATCGTTCAAAGTGTTGAGCCTTTAAAAAAAAAAAAAAAAAAAAAAAAAGAATCGGACGAATTCATCCCGTGAAAATGAGGATGTTAAGGTATATGACGAGGATGTTAAGGTATATGATAAAAGGGGACGAGAAGAGATAAAATTACTATTAGAAATGTTGAGAAAAAAAATATGGAGCAACACCTTTTAGTGGAGGTATTCAAAGAAAATCTATTGATTATCCGATCAGAAGAGGGAAATCAATTTACATATAAAGTAAGAAACAAAAGAGCTATAGAAATTAACATGCCATAAAATCATTAAAAATAAATTTTAAAAAATTAAATATTAGTATAGAAGAGATAATTTGTAACAGGAGTGCACAAGGGTCGGAATCAAATCGTTCCTAGTGATTTTATAAAAATTAAAATCGAACCGTGAAATCAATGAAACTGTGTGAAAACGATTTGATACGGTTCGGTTCCACGGTTTTAGTTATTTTTATAATTCAATCTAATATATATATATATATATATATATATATATATTAAGTTTTAAAATGTATAGTATATATAATATAATTTTTAATTATATATTAAGATATATAGTTGAGTGGTTAAAAGTTTAATCTTATTATTCTATTATTTATATAATAATAAAATATATAAATGATATATATAATTTATAAAACGGTTCTGTTTGTTTTGATTTTGTGGAGCTTCAAATCGTAACCAAACAGTTTATAAACGATTATATATTTTTGGAATCAAATCGAACCGTGGAAAAATCAAACCAAACCTACTAATACAGTTTGGTCTAATTTGATTTAGTTCAATCGATTTTTTGTACCCTCCTAGTTTGTAGTATAAAATAATAAAAAAATAACAATTTATGTGATTACCTCTCATATGAAATTAAGACGAGAATAATGATAAGGATGTATTTATATAATATAAATATATAAATTAATGATATAGTATATGAGAGTTAGTAGTGTTTTTTTTTTCTCTCTCTCTCTCTTAGATGGTTCCTGCAAGTTGTTGTTAGCCGCCTCCGTAACTGGGAATAGCTTTAACCGAGGGACCCATTTTTGGTCTAGGGATTATTTAATTAGAGCTGCCAAACTTATTTCATTGAAAGAAGTTAAAGGCTGCAGTTTATGATTGCTGCTAATACTGAATTTATTTAATTTGTGATAATAATGCTGCATTTTAGTTCTTGATTGGTACGTTTTGGAAATAGTTTTTTTAGTTCTTATAAAATGGAATACAATTTCCTATATTTTGATGCTTCAAGAGGGCATTTGACTCGTTCATTTAACTCCATTTCAATCCCAAAAAAAAAAAAAAATTGTACAATAAAAATAATTATGGATTTTTTTAAACCACTTACAGGTCAAAATTTTGTTAGGCCTAGTTTGGTATGAAATAGAATGTGAATGGAATGAAGTTGGAAATAGAATGAGAATGTAAAAAGAATGGAATAGTTGTTTTTATTCTATTGTTTGGTTGCATATATGAAATGATACTCATCCTAATAAGTGGTGTGGTGGTTGCAAATATGAAATAATAATCATTATTATATGTGGTAATGGTGGTGGTGATGGTGGAAGCAGTGAAAGATAATGGTGACGGCAGAAGGCGGTGGCGATGTAAGACAGTGGCGACGGCGGAGGAAGAATTGGAGGTGGTGGTGATGGAAGGCGGTAGCAGCAGAAGGCGGTGATTGTGGTGAAAGGCAGTAGCTAAGTATTTCATTCTAAGAAAATGGTTAGAATAGAATGACCATTCTATTCTATTTCATTCCATTCCTACCTACCAAAATATAGATATAGAGTTTTGAATATTTATTTTCATGGAAGCATGTATGCCCTACCAACAAGGATATAGATATAGAGTTTTGAATATTTATTTTCATGGAAGCATGTATGCCCTACCAACAAGGGGTCTTTCGACTCTTTCCTGCGAATAATTATGCTTCTTGTGAAGTGTACCAATCAGGGAACCTTGGCTGGCTGCGTTTTTAATTAAGATGAGTCATGATATAACAATATAGGATAATCTTACATATCATATTCACGTGGAATTTGAAGTCGTGTAAAATATAATTTTCCTCAATACAATTGACTAAGGTCTTATATTTAGAAAAGAAAAAGAAAAAACTTCTCAGGAATGAACATTAAAAAGATGACA